AGCAGGGAGCCCGATGCGGGGCTTGATCCCAGGACCCTGGGACCATGACCTGAGCCGAAGGCAGACGCTTAATGACTGAGCCACCCAGGCGCCCCGCTGTAGAAGATTTTTGAAGCCTCATTACTTCAGGGAGTTCTGCTCCAAAAATACTGGAAAAACACACATGGGAAAGAGAACCTATACACATCAGAAGTAATTATATCCATTCATAAGTCATCAAAAAAATTAGTCTACATAGAACTTGAAGGGCATATAAAAGCTCGTAATTCTCAATAATTTTGTGAATGATAGTCAAATTAAAAACAATGATAAATTTAGAAGATTAAAAAAGCTTAAGTAGAAAATAAAAATATGATGACAATGAATCTGATCTTTTAGGATGGAAATGAGTGGGTTAGGCAATAATCTAACAAGATTATATAACATATACTCTAATAAGTTTATATAACTACTATCTAACAAGCTCATGTGGCCTAGACTTTACATATAAAAAACACTAAACAGAACTTATTGGAAACAAAAAAGTAACCAATTGCTCTATGTGTATGTTTTATATACTTATTTATTGTTGAGTTTTTACAGTCAGCCTGTAACGCTTTAAAAAATTTTAACATGATGTTCCTATGTTTGAGATAAAGGAAAGGATATAAAATCCAGCATAATTAATTAGACCTTGCCAGGTCTAAATAATCAAGAAAAAACTGGAAGTGATATTTTTAAAGTTTTATAAACAGTACAGTAAATGAAAATAAATGTAAGATCTTCTACTGTGAAAAGGATTCTTCTATGAGTAGGTAACAACATAGCCAAGTTACCCTATATCACTCATTTTAAGAAATGTCAGCTAGACCAAGAAATTCGTTAAATCAAACAGCACATTATCATTCTTTTCAAAGCTAACTCGACAGAGCTCCTAGAGAAATACAGACATCCCATATTCTTAGAAGGAAATTATAATATCATATGATAACTAATTATAGGGCTAGTTTCTTTCTCCAAATTATCAAGAGCACTAATATTCCTTATTTAGGGATTTTAGCCACCTCTTCCATAATTTATAGGTTCTTGATAAATGTTTGTTAAACTTGCTGAAGATACTGGTCAAATTAAGAGGAATCAGTGATGAGGTTAGTTCAAGAGCTTTGGATTATATTACAGATTTGGGGGGGAGCAAAAACTAGATCCTGAGAAAAGCTATGATTTGTTTCAAACATGATTTAAGGAACACTACTCTATTCTGGAAATCCAAAGTCTCCATTTTTACATTAAAAAGTTGGGATTATTTTTTCAGAACAACTGGGGATCTGCTGGTCATTTTAATCTTACATAAATTTTACAAACTCTCTAACAAAGTAGAATTTAGGACAGTGGGTGAGTGTATATTCTCCAAACATGGAAGATAAAAAGTTATTTAAGAACATAAACAAAAGAGATTATATAGAATATAAATAAAGATCCCCTGAGAAGTAGTAGGTGCCACGCAATTTATTACTGACTTGAATAGGCATTACCCCCAGTATTACATGTACAGAAGGTAAGAGATGTTGCTTAGTGTTGTTACACAGCAAGTAGGGTAGCAGAGATTACTCTCAAGTCCTGACCCTAAACTCTGGGTCCAGGGATCTCCATACTACACCCTAGCTGCATACATTTTGTTCAGGAATATAGCCATTCAGCAACAGGGCCATCTAAAGGCAGCACCAACATCGATGGTAAAGCCAGATGAAAGGAGGATGCTGAGAAGGCAAGGGGACCCCTTCTTCAGCTAATGGTGTAGCTGAGTCAAGGAGTATAAAGTCTGGATCCATGCTAAACAGACCAACAGGCAGTTTTACTACTTTCTTTTCTGACACTGCAATTACTTCTGCTGCTGCTAGAATACTTCGTAAAAGCCAGTCATTGTTACCACCACATGCAAAGGTAAACTCGAAATAACTCTTCCACTTAGACTCACTGGTTCCTCAAGACGTAGCTCTACAGGCAGGGCTACATACGGGTCTTTTAGCTAAAATATTTTACCTCCTACTATCTAAAGCGACAATGTTATTGCAACAAAAAGCATACTATTGTCTTTTAACTTGTCAGAAGTTAATGTTATAATATTTTTGCAGTTATAAAAGCAGGAGCATCTCATGTGTTATAGAGAGATAAGTGGACCAATTATTGCGATGGATTCCGTTTTTCAATCATATATCAGAAATAGTAATAAACTAATATTCTTTTATTACTTACATATGTCATAGAAAAATAAAATTATAGACCAACATAAGAAGATATACTCTAGTTATTTATAACTCTCAGAGGGTATATAAGGGAACTAGATCCAATCCGTGAAGGACTCAGTTAACACCTTGACTCATACTAAGCAGCATGGTTTAGTAGATGTTGAAGAGAGTTCTACTGATTTATTCTATAAATAGTCTGCTCACTTTCCCCTGCCTATCTCTAGCAATCAGTGACACAAACAAAAAAAAGCATTTTTTAGCAACAGAAGGTCAAACTTATTTTGAGTACTCCCTTTGATAAATGAAAAAAAATCACACAGTAAAGCAGGCAGAAATTATGTCTATGCTAAAACAATCCCTGTAGAAATGTCTGGCTACTAACTACCTAGGGAAAAGCACCGTAAGAAGCACAGATAGAAGTGTGTGGCTCTACCAGTGAAGTTTATAAATAAGGACTCTAAAAGAAGAGTGGAGAAGAAAAAAAAAAGGGAGGGAGGGGAGAAGGGAGAAAGAGAAGAAAGGGAGGGGGAGGAGGGAGGAAAGGCAGAGAACAGAAGGGGATGGAGGGACAGAAGGAAATAATTAGAAAACTAGCTGAAGATAGGAAACAAAGATACTGAAAAAGTTATCAAGATGGGAAGATCAGCTAAAAGCCAAAAGAAGGTAATACAATTTATAAGTTTCAAAATGAAGATACTCTAAAGGAATGCAGCCTAAGATTTTGCAGCTCTCTCAACATTTTGACACTATGACTTAATGAAATAGTCCTAAACAGTGGGACAAAGAAATACAAGAAGAATCTTATGGCCCACAGGTGGGGTGATTATATATCTTCTATAGTCTCCAAAAATTAGATTTATTGAAAATAAACAAAACTCCCTCTGACCCACCAAGAACAAGTATCTTTTCATTCTTTATGAGATGGAATTTTGTGTTTTCTAACTAGCAGGAAAATTAATCCTAAGGCAAATACAAATACCAAAGCTAAAATTCAAAAATAGATGGCTCATTAAATACGAGCTCATGGACTTAACTGAAGGACTGGCTGAAGACTTAAGGGAGAAGCAGGTAGCTGGTACAATACTGCATAAGAATTTCTTAGATATTTTACTTCCCCAGGGTGCCTTGGCTTCAAAACGTTAACATATTCACTGCCTTAATCTGACTTTATCAAGCCAAAGTAGTCTTAAATTCTACTTTTGCCCTAAGGTAATAATGATTTCAGAAAGAAGAATAAGTGAGAAACCAAAGTGGATAACCGTGTGTTTTGGTATAACTAAATTTGTAATTAGTTGGAAAAAAAAGTATTACACTTACTCATACCACTGTTTATTGTGTTTTCGGTAAAGCAACGTATCCAAGGCAACAGCATTGACATCCAGAGCTCCTGGGGAAGGCCACTGGTTGGTGAGGTGGGCAGTTAACTCTTGTCTTGATCTTAAATCATTATTCTTTAGCACAGTCCTGTGAATATTAAGATGGTGAGTGCTTTTGTCTTCATTGTTCTGCAATGGCAGAGGAACCTAATGGTATCAATCGGGCCCCCAAAATTTATCTCTTTAAAATGGTATGCTAACAGATTGTCAACAGAGCTATAGGAAGGCTGGCTGGGGCTAGTAATGTCTCCTACAACATGTGTTTTTCATTCTTTCTCTAAAGGCTACAACAAATCACTAACGTGTGAAATTCAGATTTCCTATCTTTTCCACAGAGATATTACTAAAGGACTAAAGCTGCGTTTTACACCTTACCTAAAAAATTTTGATATCTTAAAGTTATAATCAGTTTCCAGTTAAAGTAAGAAAAGATTCCATGTATATTATTTTCTAGCATCAACATTCACACTCTAACTCAGTAAACAAAAAATTAAAATGAATTAAAAAATAAAACTAAATGCAGAAAAATACTAAATAAAAAACCCATAAGATTTCTGTAATTTTTTAAGAGAAGTGACTACCAATAAACCTTTATGAAAATAATTAAATCAATGATAACTGGACTGAACAATATAACCCACTGGAAATCTTTCATCTACAGAATGAAGCCATTGTAACAGCTCACGGTTTACTTTTGTTTTTGTAGAACTGCTAACTCATTAATAACGACTTGCAAAAGAGCTAACTTTTGGCCTAAATTTAAACCTCACAAACCAATTAATCACTGTCACAGGACAGTGAACCAGTGAATCACTGAACCATGATTCAAATGGAAAAACCCCATTTAAAGGTCTCGAACAGGCTACCTGTGAATATTTCTGATTTTACAGAATATCTGTGTATGTTTAAAAATACTTGCTCCATCTATGTCCACAAAGAAACATTATTTGATGTAAAGACTAGATTCTACCTCAGGATGGAATACTAAAAAAGTGAAATGGGCAGAAGCCTGTGAGAAGGTACTACATTAAGATATTCTTGTAGGCTACCTGTAACAATTTCATTTCACTGGAAAAAGAATGAAAATTTTAAAAAGGACTTTTAAGTTACTTTAACATGGGTTTTTACGAAAACAGTAAAGAGTTCAGAAAAACTTCAAGAGTGACAGAAAAATCACGTTAAGCAGAAATGGGTAATGCTGGCCAGAGAATCTATTAAAATAAGTCACCATTATTTTGGCTTCTCTTATTAGACTTCTCTTTCACATATTCACTCTCTCTAGGGTCTCCCCTGCATGTCACTGGAAAACTCAACTTCAATATCATCACTGGTTTACAGAAAATATTCAGAGCACAATGCAAGAAAGGCAAATGTGCATCTGTGAGGAAATGACACTGGAAAAATTCAGTTAATGTCAGTAATTGAACAACCTCCCATTTAGAATATATTCTGGGAAGTGAGAAGTTTTACACTGCATAAAACGAAAAAAGGAACTAAGTTTCACAAAAGTTTTTATACACTACTTGTCCATGGCAAATTTTTGCCTAATGACAACTTATCGTATTGTCTTTAGGCTTCTGTATTTAGAAATCCCAATTAGACCTTGTTTTCGGTGGGCAGCTGCCCAGTCCTTGGACACGGGAGATAGAGACTGCAGTATACTCTGTCATCTGTGCTGCACCTGCTTTCCACTCCGTGATGAATGTGGACACGGACAATGCTGGGCTCTTGCCTGGCCACTACGAAAGGGAAGGGTTCCTGGAGAAGCCTTGGGTAAGGCCCTTCCTCTCATCACTCTAGTACACTAAGGGGCGGGCAAGGGATTAAGGCACGTTGAAAACCCACCCCTGAATTCTGAATCTTGACTCTATTTAGATAATGCAGAGACAAAGCAGTTTATTCATTCTAGCAGTAGGCCCTGACCAAAACGTACCAGCAAAGAGACAGGCCTGAAGTTCCTACGTGCTAATCCTCTGAAGTAGCTCAGCCTACCTCTCTCCAAGCCTACTTTTCCCGTTTTTCTTTCCATTCCTTGAGTTGGTGATATCAATCTAATGAATTTCACTTATGCTTAAGAGTTGACTCTGCTTTCTTACCATCAAAGAATCCTATTACTCACTGAGAACAAGCAAAACATACCTAGAGTTAACTTCAAGAGCTACACAAAAGTAATCTAAATGAGGTTAATATGAAAAATGAGGATATTTTTCTCACTGGCCAAGCTTAAAAATAGGTTCATCTTACTCCACAATTACTGTTACTTCCTAGTGTGAAATCAGTGGCAATTTAAGGTAAAATTATGTGATATTCACCATTTAACTTTAATTAAAACTCTAACCAATGTTAACACTAATAAGCTAATCTAAAAATTAAATCATTCTATATGAGATAGATTCTACTTGTAACTTCTATCTATGATACAAGTCTCTCATTAACAACTGAACATCTCTCATTAAGGTAATAATTCTACAGAAAGATACAATACAGGAAATTATTACAAAAGTGGCAGTAACACACTTATCACAGCTAATTTTAAGAACTTTCCTGTGGTATCTACCCTTAAATTGCTAGATAGATAATTTCTCTTTAGATTTTCAACAGGGATTATGCAAGAAGTTGGCCACAAAAATTCTAATTCCAATCCCCCCACAGCTTTACTGAGGAATAATTAGCAATTAAAAACTGTATACATCTGAAGTGTACAACTTGGGGCACCTGGGTGGCTCAGTCGTTAAGCGTCTGCCTTCGGCTCAGGTCATGATCCCAGGGTCCTGGGATCGAGCCCCGCATCGGGCTGCCTGCTCCGCGGGAAGCCTGCTTCTCCCTCTCCCCCTCCCCCTGCTTGTGTTCCCTCTCTCACTGTCTCTCTCTCTCTCTGTTGAAAAATAAATAAAATCTTTAAAAAAAAAAAATAAAGTGTACAACTTGATGATTTGATAGACATATACAAAGTAATCACCACATTCAAGCTAATTAACATATCTATCACCTCACAGTTACCTCTTTTGTGTGATGAGAACACTTGAGATGCACCCTCTTAGAACACTTCAAGTATACAATACAGTATTAAGTACAGTCATGTTGCTCTATACTAGATCTCCATAATTTATTCATCTTGCATAACTGAAACTTTGTACTTTTTGACCAGCATCTCACTTACCCCTTTCTCCAGGCCCAAACTGGTAACAACCATCTACTCTCTGATTCTCTGAGTTTGACTATTTTAGATTCCACATATAAGTGAGATCGTGTACTTTTTGTTTTTCTGCATTTGGCTTATTTCACTTAGCCTAATTTCCTCAAGGTTCATCTGTGTTGTTTCAAACGGCAGGATTTCATTTTTTAAGGTGGAATAATACTCTATTGTGTGCATGTGTAGCTACAGACACAGGGTCTTCATATATCACATTTTCTTTATCTATTCATCCATCCATCCATGAGGTTGCTTCCACCTTTTGGCTATTGTAAATAATGCTGAAGTTAACATAAGGAGTGCATATATCTTTTTGAGATTCTGACTTCATTTCCTTTGGATAAATACCTAGAAGTGGGATTGCTTAAACATAAGATAGTCCTATTTTTAATACTTTGAGGAACCTCCTGTTTTCCAAAGTGGCTGTGCCGGTCTATAGTCCTATCAAAAGTACATGAGGGTTCTCTTCTTTCCACAACCCCAGCAACAGTTGTCATTTACCATCTATCTGATAATAGACATTCTAAGTAAGAAGATATTTCACTGTGACTATGATTTGCATTTCCCTGATGATTAGTGAAGTTGAGCATCTTTTCTTATACCTATTGGTCACTTCTGTGTCTTTTCTGGAGAAATGTCTATTTAAGTCCTTTGCCCATTTTTAAATTGAGTTAGTTTTTTGTTATTGAGTTGTATGAGTCCCTTACAGATTCTGAATATTAACTCATTATCAGACAGATGTTACAAATATTTTTTTCCATTCTGTAGGTTGTCATTTTACTCTATTGAATGTTTGCTGTGCGGATTTTTAGTTTGATTCGATCCATTTTTCTATTTTTGCTTTTATTGCCTGTGATTTTGGTATCATAGCCAAAAATATCATTGCCCAGAGTAATGTCAAAAAGTTATTTCCCTGTTTTCTTCTAGTAGTTTTACAGTTTCAGGTCTTTAAGACTTAAATCTTGAATCTATTTTGAATTGATTTTTGTAAATGGTAAAAAAGGAGTCTAATCTCATTCTTATGTATGTGGATATTCATTTTTCCCAACACTTGTTTATCAAAGAAACTCTCCTGTTCTGATTGTGTGTTCTTGGTAAGCTTGTCAAAGTTATCAGTTGACTTGTAGATGCATGGATTTACTTGGGGGCCCACTATTCTCTTCCAATGGTCTATATGTCTGTTTCAGTGCCAGTATCACACTGTTTTATTATAAATATAAAATATATTTTGAAATCAAGAAGTGTGATGTCTTCAGCTTTGTTCTTTCCAAAAACTGCTTTGGCTATATGGGGTCTAAACTATGAATTTTAGGACTGCTTTTTCTATTCTCGTAAAAAATGACATAGGGATTTTGATAGGGATTGCGTTGAATCTGTGTATCATTTTGGGTGCTATGCATATTTTAACAATATTAATTCTTCTTCTAATCCATGAACATGGGATATCTTTTTTTTTTAAGATTTTATTTTTTTTGAAAGAGAAACAGTGAAAGAGAGAGAAAGACAGCACAAGCGGGGGGGGGGGCAGGAGAGGGGCAGAAGAAGAGGGAGAAGCAGGTTCCCAGTTAAGCAGGGTGCCCAATGTGAGGCTTGATCCCAGGACCCTGAGATCATGACCTGAGCTGAAGGCAGATGCTTAACCAACTGAGCCACCCAGGCACCCCAGGATTTCTTTCTAAAAATATTTTATTTATTTTGAGAGAGAGAGAGCATGCACACGGGGTGGAGGGGCGGGCAGAGGGAGAGGGAGAGAATCCTAAGCAGGCTCCATGCTCAGCACACAGCTCAACACAGGGCTCAATCTCATGATCCTGAGATCATGACCCGAGCTGAAATCAAGAGTCGGAGGCTTAACCAACTGAACCACCCAGGTGACCCAGGGTATCTTTTTGCTC